GGGGTCCAAGATTATCTTTTGTGTCTGTGTTAATTGGTTTCCCTTTTCTTTGTTGAAGAGGGTCTGTGCAATCCTTCTGCCTAGTCTGCCATCTTGCCCACAAGTAAAAGCTTACTGAAGATAATTAAAAAATGGTTTGCAGCGGTATATTGACAGAGAACTTCCAGAAATACAAGCTGGATTCAGAAGAGAATGTGGAATGAAGGATATCATTGCTGATGTTAGATAGATCTTGGCTGATAAGAAAGAATACTGGAAAGATGTTTACTTGTGTTTTATTGACTATGCAAAAGTATTCGAATGTGTGGGTCATAATAAATTATGGATAACATTGGGAAGAATGAGAATTACAGAACACTTAATTGTGCTCATGAGGAACCTGTACGTAGACCGGGAAACTGCTGTTTGAACAGAACGAGGGGATACTGTATGGTTTAAAATCTGGAAGGGAGTGTATCAGGGCTGTATCCTTTCACCATACAATGTGTATGCTGAGTAAATAATCTGAGAAGCTGGGCTATGTGAAGAAGAATGTGGCATGAGGATTGGAGGAAAACTCATTAACAACCTGCGATATGCCAATGACACAACTTTGCTTGTTGAAAGTGAGGATGACTTGAAGCATTTACTGATGAAGATCAAAGATTACAGTCTGCAGTATGGATTACACTTCAACATAAAGAAAATGAAAATCCTCACCACTGGACCAATGAGCAGCATCACAATAAACTGAGAAAAGATTGAAGTTGTTAAAGATGTCATATTACTTGGTTCCACAATCAACACCAATGGAAGCAGCAATCAAGAAATCAGATGATTTATTGCACTGGGCATGTCTGCTGCAAAAGATCTCTTTAAAGTGTTGCAGAGTAAAGATGTCACTCGGAAGAGTAAGGTGTGCCTAACCGAAGCTATGGTGTTTTTGGTAACCTCATTTGTGTGTGAAAGCTGAAGAAGAGGTGATGCCTTTGAATTGTGGTCTTGGCGAAGAATAGTGAAAATACCATGCCATTGCCAAAAGAACAAACAAATCTGTCCTAGATGAAGTGCGGCTAGAATGTTCCTTAGAAGTGAGAATGGCCAGACTTCGTCTCACCTACTTTGGTCATATTGTCAGAAGGGATCATTCCTTCGAGAAGGATATGCTTGGTAAAGTGGAGGGTCAGCAAGAAAGGGGAAGGCCCTAAACAAGATGGATTGACACAGTAGTTGCAATGATGGGCTCAGGTATAGCAAGGATTGTGGCACTGGTGCATGATTGGGCAGTGTTTTGTTTTGTTGTATATAGAGTCACTATGAGTCAGATGTGGATCATAACAAATTGTGGATAACATTGGGAAGAATTGGAATTCCAGAACACTTAATTGTGCTCATGAGAAACCTGTACATTGACCAGGAGGCTGTCGTTCAAACAGAATAAGGGGATACTGCATGGTTTAAAATCAAGAAAGGAGTGCATCAGAGTTGTATCCTTTCACCATATTTATTCAATCTATATGCTGAGCAAATAATTCAAGAAGCTGGACTATCTGAAGAAAAACATGGCTTCAAGATTGGAGGAAGAATCATTAACAACCTGTGATATGCTGTGATATGCTGACAACACAACTTTGCTGAAAGCGAGGATGACTTGAGGCACTTACTGATGAAGACTGAAGAATATAGTCTGCAGTGTGGATTACATCTCAATATAAAGAAAACAAAAATCCTTGCAACTGGACCTATAAGCAGCATAATGATAAATGGAGAAAAAATTGAAGTCAAAGATTTCACATTGCTTGGTTCTACAATCAACGCCAATGGAAGCAGCAGTCAGGACATTAGACCACGTATATAGCACTGGGCAAGTTGGCTGCAAAGGACCTCTTTCAAGTGCTGAAGAGCAAAGATGTCTCCTTGAGGACTAAGGTGTGCCTGATGCAAGCCATGATATTTTCACTTGCCTCGTATGAATGTGAGAGCTGGACAATGAATAAGGAAGACTGAAGAATTGATGCTTTTGAGTTGTGCTGGTGAAGAATACTGAAAGTACCATGGACTGCTAAAAGAACTTACATCTGTCCTAGAGGAAATGCAGCTGAAATGCTCCTTGGAAACGAGAATGGCCAGACTTCATCTCACCTACTTTGGTCATGTTATCAGAAGGGACCATTCCCTGGAGAAGGATGTCATGCTTGGTAAGGTGGAAGGTCGATGAAAGAGGGGAAGACCCTCAATAAGATGGATTGACACAGTGGCTGCGACAATGGGCTCAAGTATAGCAAGGATCATGGAGCTGGCGTGGGACCAGGTGGTGTTTTGTTCTGCTGTGCATAGGGTCACTATGAGTCGGATATGACTTGACGGCACCTAACAACAACCACATGAGTCAGACCTGACTTGATGGCACCTAACAGCAGTAACAACAATAATTTAGTGTACCTGTTAAAGTCTAAAAATGTGTGTTTTTATATCCCCCACTGGTAACTCCCTCATAATCCGAAGAGTGTATTGGACAATTGTAATGCCTACTATGTACCAAAAGTCTAGTTTTGTGGGATTTGTGCCTTTGACTGAATCAAAGAGATGCTATGATGTAAAGTTGGACGGTGCACATTGTTTTAATAGCTGTAGTCACTGGGACATCTTTTCCTTTTCCTGTTTGTAATAGATCTCGGATTTCTGAAGGAACTGTTAGAGGGAGAAAGGCTTTCTCCTTTCTTTCAGATGTGTTGACCTTGTTATGTTTCTAAGCATGGGTGACACATAATTAGACGTTTCATTCTGTTTCTGTAAGCCCTTAGATAGTAGACATCTCTTCCATATTCTGGTAATAGAGAGATGGAATAGGTAGTGACAGATGCCATTTAAAACTAGATGTTAGTATTGGCTCTTAATATATTTACATTGACTATTTTTGTGTTTCCTGACATAGCTTAGGAAAATTTGAAATTTTCTCTGATACAAATTTTCTGACTTCCTAAGATCAGAATATTTGAGAAGTAGCCTTTAAAAGCTCTACTATATATGCATTTGGAAGTTGTTTAAAATAATAAAACTCCTTTTGTTATATTCTTTATTTTAGTTAAAAGAAAGCTTGGAACAATCCATAGGCCAACTGAGGAGTCAGCGTTTATTGAGAAACTCAGGAGGGAGAAGTGCTTCTGTTACAAGTCTGAGTGCGAGCGACCTCAGTGCTGGTGCAGCAGCAGGTAAATTCGTCAACTGTTCTGAAAACTCTCTTTTGTTTTAAAAATATTTCTAAAGTACTTGTTGGATACACTTAATCTTTAGAAAAATACAACTCATCCATAAAATTGTAAAGTTAGATATTTGACGATGCAGTTGTCAAGGATATGAAGGGTTTTATAGTGCATGTTTTGAAATATGTTAAGCGAGACTTTTTCTTCTGAGTCTGTTGGTTTGCTTTTCTCTGACTCTGCAGACCAATTAGAGCGTTAGCTGCCAAAACTTGGATTTAACAGTCAGCTACCAAAGAATCAAAACAAAATTCAAATAAAATTTACTATTTAGTATACTTTCTGAGTGTGGACTCTTGTCCTAGATTAATAGTTTTCAAATGTTTCATTATGAAACATCCTGTGACATTGGATAAGAACAGGTAAATTTTGGTCGTGGTGTGCAGCTAGATTTGACTGGCTGGATTCAGTGGCAGGAGTTAGTTTTCTGGTTAATCTTGTACTTTCTTATTGGACTTGGATTCATATTTGAATAGAAAAGACCAAGTCCACAGTGAAGATAAGTGATTTAGAGTGAACATCAGAACTTCACATTGTTTATATTGCTGTTGATCATTATAATGATTAAAATTGCACCCAATCATCTTTTTTTTTTTTTTTTTTTAAATGTAGTTAATTGT